CAGGAGACCCTATACCATTTTAGATAGGTGGCTGTCCAGTATTTTCTTTAAAAAACCCAGTGATGAAGCACCCACAATGTCTGAAGGCAAGCCGTTCCACTGGTTAATTGTCCTCACTGTTAGGAAGTTTTTCCTTAATTGCTTCTCTCCTTGATTAGTTTCCATCCATTGTTTCTTGTTTTGCCTACAGGTGCTTTGCAAAATAAGTTGACCCCCCCCCCTCTTCTTTGTGGCAGCTCCTCAAATACTGGAATACTGCTATCATGTCACCTCTAGTCCTTCTTTTCTCTAGACCCGCCATGCCCAATTCTTGCAACAGTTCTTCATGTTTTTGTCTCTAGGCCTTTAATCGTCTTAGTTGCTTTTCTTTGTACTTTTTCCAAAGTCTCAACATCTCAACAACCCTACATGAAACTATAGAGCATCACAGCATATCAAAAAGCAATCCAGGATGAATTTAGCTTCAGGGAAAAGTGTATTTTCTTTATTTCAAAATAGCCCCCAACTTTTCAGTCTAGTAATTAAAAAGAAGGAATTCTCTTTTTTTTCACAAAGTAACCATAAACCTTCCAAAAATCAACAACTACCTCTAACAAATCTACTGAAGCTTTCTTTAGACGTTCAGTTGGTGATGGCAAGTCATGGGCCCATATTTCTGGAGAGAGAAACAAGGTAGCTAAAGCTACAATATGTTGCCAAAGTAAAAACAGAAGGAGATTTAGTGTGGTATTGGGAATTCAGTGATCTTTCAGATATAGGTAGAGACATACTGAATTCATATTTCACCTGAAATAGTGTTCAACTTTCCCCCCCCCCCCAGTGTCAGTGGTGAAATTCAAATTTCGGTTCTGTGGGCGTGGCTTGGTCGGCATGGCAGGAGAAGGACTTACTGCAAAATCCCCATTCCCACCCCACTTGGGGGCTAGCCAGAGGTGGTATTTGCCAGTTCTCAAACTACTCAAAATTTCCGCTACTGGTTCTTCAGAATCTGTCAGAATCTGCTGAATTTCACCCCTGCCCACTGTGTACAATCTTGGTAGCCTCGGCCATCTGTCATAGTTACTCTCTGGCTCAAAAGAGCTCTGGTGTTTTGGCCCATGACAACTTACCGTATTTTTGGAGTATAAGACACACCCTTTTCCCTCAAAAAAGAGGATTAAAATCTGGGTGCATCTTATACACTGAATACAGCATTTTTGGCCTACCGAAACCCCGCCCCCTTTACAAAAATGGCCATGCAGAGAGTTTGGGAGGCTTGCAAAGTCCTCCTGGGGGCTGGGGAGGGCAAAAATGAGAGCATTCTACAAGGCTCCAAAAGCCTCTGCATGCCTTTTTTTCCCCAAATACGGCCCATTTTTGCGAAAAACATGCCGTTTTTTGCTTGTTTTTGCCCCCCCAACCCCCAGGAGCACTCTACAAGCCTCCCAAAGCTCTGCATGCCCCCCTATTTTTTTTTGCAAAAAAACGAGGTGTGCAGAGGGTTGGGAGGCATGCAGACTGCAAAAACTTTTTTTTAAAAATGTACCTTTTCAAAATCATGGTGTGTCTTATACTCCGGTGGGTCTTATAGTCTAAAAATACAGTATATTGGCATTCATCACTATTCTTTTTACATTGGCAATCCATCCTACTAACTTGTTCCAGCTAGCATATTTTAGCTTGAAAGTGGTGTTAACAAGCCAATAGAAAGCTTGGGGTTATTTGGTGAAATAACAGGAAAGAGAAGACTTTGGGCCTTCCAACCTGGAGTTTGGAAGAATTAAAAAGACTTTAGAACAGAGGTGGGCTTCAGGGAGGAGCCAACGTCGCAACAATACATCGTGCGGACTTGACAGTCCAATTCCGCCAATGACACTTTTTCCCCTGGACGGTCCGGTAGGACCTAAACCGTCCCAAAGAGATGGTGACTAGGAAGACAAAACCTTGCTGGTCACAGGGACATCGCAAAGTCCCTGGTCGACCCAAGGAAAGCGCTTCCAACCGGCAACAAACAGGCGGCCCCCAGGCTGACATAGTCAGAGACGACTCCGGAAGGAAAGAAGAAGTGAAAGTGTTCTATCTGGTGAGTTTTTTTTTTTACTTTCAGAAGATTGCCCTAAGAATTTTTTTTCCTTTAAAGATATTAGTCCTCTAAGTAAGAATAAAGCGGCGAATTTAATTTTTATTGGACTGTTTTAGAAAATTCTTTACTTTTGCTTGCTGTGGATTGAAGTGATTGCAATGTTTCCTGTTTCTCCACCTGAAGTGAATGGACTGATTTTTTCTTTCCTTATTTTTTACTACCTTAATTCTTTTGGTTTAAACTAAAAAAAAAAAATATTTTAACAAATTCCTCCTTTTATTTGTTATAAAAGCATATTAAAGATACTTGAAGAAAAGGTATATATACATATACACATACACATACACATACACATACACACACACACACACACACACACACACACACACACACAC